CATTAGCACCTCTAGTAATATATTTACTGAGAAAAATGGTGACGTGTTCAATACTTATTTTACCAGCTGTGCATAAAGTGGAACTGCAATGCTTTGGTCTGAATTCCTCCTTATTGTAACTCCACAAGCCCCTCTTTCACTCCTTTTCTGAGGTGTTTCTCAGATTAACTCGCTTTGAGGCTGTCTCTTTAAATCCAAACAAGGYGCTTCACACTCCGGCCCACTCCACCTTCCAGACCGGTCCATTCTASTTTGATAGAGGGGTTTACAGYTAAATAATGGCACAGAAAGGTTTGTTGTTTTTTTTTACAAATTAATTAAAATATGTTAACAATGGAAGACTCGTCCATCCAGCCTTAATGTTGGAGCCAGAGTCTGACCCAGAGCCAGAGGAGACTGAAGACCACCATAATGTAGTTGGAAATCCAGACCTTATTTAGAAGTTCTGTCCAAATACTGTGACGGTATTGTTTAGAAAATGTCATAGAAAATAGAGAAAACTGAACAGATTGAATATTTTTATCCAAACAGAATATAAAGATATCTATGCAGCACCGGGAAAAACTAAATTTGAGTTTTCACAACAAAAATGCATTTAACGGTCAAAAGGGTGGACTTTGCATATGTCCCCTGGCAAATCCTGCAGAAAGCATAAACCAAACAASAACAACAACAAAAACAGCTGTCTACCTAAAAAAGCCAGCTGATTGAAGGAAGTCCACTTGATCAGTTTAATGGCGACAGTGCAAAGGAACRACTTCCTTAGTTAGACTTTATAACCATCACTGCTCGCAACAATCATAAGCATACATGTTCGTGTTTGCACATCAAACATCTCTACCTAGCTATCATTACACATTTAATAAACACTAATATTAATAATTCTTCACTGTTTTTCATGTACTGGACTTAATGAATGAGTCTGAAACAATTTGCCCAGACCAAGTTTGAATCATTTTTGCACAAGTCAGYCATGACRGTTATTTCCTGAAATTATGTAACTTTCTGCACAGTAGCTTGCTTTTTACTTTCATTTTTTTATCAAATTTTTCATTGATGAACCTATATTAGCAGTACTGTAATTATTACACTTATTTTGACTTTTATCTATGTTTATTTTGATTGTTGCAATCTTTAATGTTTAATTCTATTATTTTTGCTACTATTGATATTGTCACATGGCAACATACTGTTCTGTGGATTGATGTATGTACACGCTGCTGCCACTACACCTGAATTTCCTTGTGCGGGACAATAAAGGCTGTTTCTATTTTATTCTATTCTTTTAACAGGAACAGACCTCCAGCAGAAGCAGGGTCAGGAATATCAACCATCTTCCTTTGACTGTTCTTTAGTTTTTATCTACCCGAGCAAAAGGTGTGTAGCTTTACAGATAAAACCAGCAGCAGTCATACAGGTGTACATTCACATATTCATAAACACTCAAACTTACCTAATTTTGTGCAACTTGGAGAGGTCTGGGTTGAGGCTGGAGAACTTCTGCGCGAGTTTCCAGACAGTGACGGTGAAGAAAAAGACGTTCAGGACGATGATGATGCACACGGGGCCAAAGAAGCTCCAGATGAGGCCGTCTTCCAGGGACAGCCAGCAGCTATGGTTGAGAGGAAGGAAAGAAATGTTTACATAAATGCGTTCCAGATTTGCTGACATCATTAACATGATGCAAGCAAGAAGGAATCAAACTTTCATTTTGTTTTTGGTCATTTCCTCCTTTCCCATGCAACAAACAGAAAACAATGTGAATTTAATTTTCCCATATTTTTCCTACTCACTGTTGCTTCGTGCCATATCCCTTTGGTCTGATGGTGGCAGATAGGATGACAATAGTGAGCGGGACCCCGTAACCAAAGACATACAAGTAAAGGGGACGAATGGTGGCATTAAACACCAGGACAACCATCCGATACAGCTGGACCCCTTCTAAAAGCATCCAGGCCATCACGCCCAGGAAGAAGAAATGAAGCATCCCTGCAACGAACCTGCATCCCCCCTGCACAAACAAAAATAATATGGAGAATGATATCAGCTAAAAAATATGAAACAATGCTTGCTCTGTCACCCAAACACTTTCAACTATCCTTATCTCATTAATTGGATGAAAACACGAACCAGAAAAAAATCTTTACAAAATCACACATCAAGTGGGATTGGTGGAAGAAAGTTTTGTCACCATATGACATCATCACAAAAAAGCTGTGCCCTGAGACGACGTTCACTGTGACTTGTTTTGACTGAATTGAATCAAATATAAACAGCACAAAAATTAAGGAAATTTATGTTTGCTAGCCTAGAACATTTCTTTGTCGTAACAATACTTCTTGCCAAATCTTATATCACTGGAAAGCCTGTTAATTTTCCATTTTAAAGGGTGCCATATTTGTAAGGAACATGCATCTGTGGGATGAGCAGTAGAGCCGAGTATTGGAGATGCACACATGAATCATTTTCCCGATCTTCTCTACCAAACAGCTTCTTTTGCTGTTGCTATTATTGTTTTGACATTCTGGTACCCCCAAGTGCTGCCAATCAGGTACCTGGTATAAGATTAGAAGCAATGGGCCTCATGCAGGAACATGTTCATATTCTTCTCCTAAATTTCTCTTACTTTTGTTCGAACAAA